AATAATAATAATAATAATAATAATAGTAATGATAATAATGATAAAATGAGGGGGACCCATGTCAGGTAGCTCATTCCTTCCTGTAACTCCAGCTCCGAGGGATGCTCCACCACACCTCTGACCTCCACAGGAACCTGCAGTTGTGTGTGCTCGTGCACACACACACGCGTCAACAAAAATGGTTTCTTCACTTTTTTATAAAGACTTGTTAATTTCATTTTGTGCATGTGAGTGTTTTGCCTGCAAGTAGGTACAGGTACCACACGAATGCCTGGCGCCCACAGAGGCCAGAAGGGGGACCCCCTGGGACCAGAGTCACAGTTGTGAGCATCAGTGTGAGTGCTAGGAAGCACACCCAGGTCATTTACGGGCTCAAGTGCTCTTAATTACTGAGCCACCTCTCCAGGCCTTAAACGTGCATCTCAAAATGTAAATAGAGGGGCTGGAGAGGTGGCTCAGCAGTTAAGAGCACTGCTCTTCCAGAAGACCCAGGTTCAATTCCCAGCACACGCATAGTAGCTCACAATTCTCTGTAACATTAGTTCCAGGGGATCTGACATCCTCAAACAGACCTATATGCAGGCAAAACACCAGTGCACATGAAAATACTTTATTTTTTTTTTTTTTAAAGATTTTTTTTGAAGGCCAGGCAGTGATGATACACACCTTTAATCCTAGAACTCAGGAGGCAGAGGCAGGCAGATCTCTGAGTTTGAGACCAACCTGGTCTACGAAATGGGTTTCAGGACAGTTAGGGCTACACAGAGAAACCCTGCCTCTAAATAACTAAATAGATAAAAAAAAAAAATAATAATAATAACGTTTTAGACGTAAAGTAACGTAAGTTCATTCCTATCTGTTCCTGGCAGGATGGATCTGAGCCCTGACCTCATATCAGCCTGCTTGGCCCTGGAGAAATACTTGGAGAACCCCAATGCCCTCACGGAGCGAGAACTGGTACGGAGAATCCCTGGGCCCAGGGGCGTCCTCCATACTCACACCATGCCTGCCCTCTCAGGGTCTCTCTGCACCTACTTAGTGAGGATCCAGACATGGAGGGTGTGGCTTAGTGGTGGGTGGATCTTGAGTCCTAGGCTGGAGATGGGGTCCATTGTTGCCTGGAGACCAGCCTGGCTTCATAATTGTCTCAGAGACTGCAGGGGCAAGTGCACACTTTACCCCAAGGCTCCTTTACCCCAAGTGTGTCAATCAACACTTCCGTTGTGGCTCAGCCCAGGGCAGCACTGGGTTTTTTTGTTTGTTTTTGTTTTGTTTTCACTTTGCTCATTTTGAGGTCTCGTAGCACGGGCTATCCTTGAACTGCATTTGTGGCTGAGGATGACCCTGAACCCTTGATCCTCCTGCCTCCGTCTCCCATGTGCTAGGGTTACAGGCCTGCACCACCTCTCTGGATTTCTTGTGTCTTGAGACAGCCTGGCTGGCCTGAACCTGCTGTGTAGATCAGACTGTCCTTGAACTCAGAGAGATCCTCCTGCCTCTGCTTCATGTGTCTGTTTTCAGACACGTTCCCAGTGTGTCACCCAGCTTGGCCTTGAACTCTAGATTTTCCTTCTTGGCCCTTTGTGCAGAAGGGGATGGGTGTCCCGGTCTCACTCCTGCTGTCTCCACGCAGAAAGTGGCCTATACCACAGTGCTTCAGGAATGGCTGCGCCTGGCCTGCCGCAGCGATGCGCACCCTGAGCTGGTGCGGCGGCACCTGGTCACCTTCAGGGCCATGTCTGTGCGGCTGCTGGATTACGTGGTCAACATTGCTGACAGCAACGGGAACACCGCGCTGCACTACTCTGTGTCTCACGGCAACTTCCCCGTGGTGCGGCAACTGCTGGACAGCGGTGAGCCACCGGGCAGGGCCAGCCCGAAGGTCCGATGGGGGAGACGGGCCAACCCCAGCTGCTTAGAGGGCTGCTCCTTTCCTGGTCTGATGGAGGGGTGGTGGGCAAGGATTCCAGCTCCTCAGTCTGATGGGGGAGGCACTGTGCTTTCTCCCTTGGGGTGATGGAGGCAGGATCCTCTAAGCTGGATGGGGGAGAATGTGCCCTTCACTGATGGATGAAGGAGGCTTCACCTTCCCAGTCTGATGGAGGAAGCTCTGTCCCCCACTGTGATGGAGGAATGTAGCCCATCCGGTCTGGTGAAACAGGCCCTTAAAATGTGCTGAGAAGGCTCGGTCTCCTTGGCATTAGGGCGAGGGCATCGTCACTGAAAGGTGCCTGGGTGATGGATACTGTTTCCAAAGCCCTGTGTGAGGGAAGGCTCTGGCCTCCGGCCCCGGGGTTAGACGGCAGACATGGTATTCAGTCAGGCAAGAAGACACCTGTCTTCCCTGGTCTAAAGGAGAAGGTCGGAAGCCCCCAGTCTATGAGGGAGGCAGAGCCCATGCTCTGACGGAGGGAGTCGGGGGCGAGCTGGAAGGCTGAATGACAGCTCCAGGTTCACAGCTCCAGGGGAGCCACTGCTCCTGTTCTCAGCCCTAACTGCCTACGTGACATCAGCCGGGTGGCCCAGGTCTGGAGAGGAGGCACGGCTCCACCTTCCGAAACCCCTCGCCCACTGGGAGAACGGCATGGCCAGAGCGGAGGGACTCCCCATCTGCGGGTAGAAGGCAGTCTAGAGGGCTGTGGAGGAACGTAGCTGTCAGGTGCTGTCCTTGCAAGCATGAGGACCTGACTAGCTCCCCACGACCTTCATGAAAAGCTTTGTGTGGCAGCAGCTTCCTGTGACCCCCAGGTCTGGGGAGGCGGGGATGAGAGGGTCCCTGGGGAGGCCTCACTTAGCCTGCTTGGCAAGCTCCAGGATGAAGAGACTGCCTATAAAAAGGAAGAAGAGGGAAGCGTGGTGACTGCGGAGGTGGTTCGGTGCATAAAGTGTTTTTCCTGCCAGAATGACCATCGTTCAGGTCTCCAACACCCAGGTTTAAAAGAAAGCAGAAACAAAACAAAACAACAACAACAAAAAAAGGAGGCATGGAGGTCTGTGCCTGTAACTCTAGCCCTTGGGAGGGAGGCGGGTGGAGACAGGAGAGTCCCTGGAGCTTGCTGGCTACCAGTGCAAATCAGTAACAGATCTCATCGGAAGAACAAGGTGGAGAGCAGTTAAGAAGGGTGCCTGACACTGACCTTGGCCTACACATGTACACATATATAGACCACATGCTCAAAAATTTCTTAAGGTGAGGGCGGCCGGGCAGGTGGACACGCCTTTAATCCTAGCACTCTGGAGGCAGAGGCAGGCGGATCTCTGTGAGTCTGTGAGTTCCAAGTAGGCCAGACTGGTCTACAAAGCAAGTCCAGGACAGCCAGAGCTACACAGAGAAACCCTGTCTTGAATCCCCCACCTTCCCCACCACCCCCAAAAAGAAGAAGGTGGTTGCATCAAGATGGTCCAGTGGGTGAGGACACTCGCTGCCAAACCTGATGACCTGAGTCCCATCCCCCGGAGCCACGAAGGGGAGGGAGAGACCATGCTGCTGTCCTCTGACCTCTGCACAGTGCCGTGGCCAGGACCCCCACTCCAGCTAACCAAGTAGATGTAAAAACGATTTAGGGAGCTGTGGAGGTAGCTCAGTGCTTACAGCAGGTACCGTTCTCACAGAGGACCCAAGTTTAGTTCCCAGCGCCCACAACAGGAGCTCACAGCTCACAACTGTGTCACACCCACTTCAGAGCTCCGGGTCACTGGTGGTACTCTCCTGCACGTATGTGTGCATACACCAACACAAAGTAAATCTCTTTTATAATAAAAACAGAACAGAACGCTAACCCAGGGGCCTGGCTCCTGAAGACACTCTCTGGTCTCCACATGGCCACGGACACAGAGACCTGCCCCATGCTCACGGCGCTGGGCCAGCCTTTAGCCTCATGGCAGCAGCTCACACCCACCCCATCCCTGTCCTCCCGGAACAGGCGTCTGTCAGGTGGACAAGCTGAACCGTGCTGGCTACAGTCCCATCATGCTCACCGCCCTGGCCACCCTGAAGACCCAGGATGACATTGAGACCATCCTTCAGCTCTTCCGGCTTGGGAATGTCAACGCCAAAGCCAGCCAGGTACAGGGCTACTCGGTGCCTGTGTTTACCTAACTTATTTGCTAGGGGCGGGCGCCTTGTGCTGTGGTGCACGTGTGGAGGCCGGGGGACACTCTTTTGAGGCTCAGCTCACTCCTACTGCCGTGTGGGCCCCTGGAGTGAACTCGGGCCGTCAGGCTTGGCGGCAAGTGCCCTTACCCTCTGAGTCTCCTCTGCTCCCTAACCTCCTTCGTCGGCTCCGGGCTGTGGGCCGTGCCAGGTCATGAGAACACTCTTATCCATGGGAATAGCCAGGTACTAAGCTCAGCAGCACGATTATTTCTTCCAGGCTCAAAGCAGGGAGTCAGTGTTTGGGCCTGAGGGGTTCTGCCTCAGAGCATCTGGCATCTGAGGCATCCGTTTCTCTGTACGTGCACGCACAAGCCAGAGGACCTAGCATCCTAAGACATGTCTCTCACTAAATCAAGGGTTCGCCTAGACTGGCTCTCTAGGATCCACCTGCCCCTGCTTCCCCAGTGCTGGGATCACAGCTACACCGACCTAATTATGTGTGGGTTTTGTTTTGTTTTTTGTTGTTGTTTTCTTTGTAGCCGAGTACCTCCTCAGCTACCACGAATCTCTGCCTTCCCCACCCTCTGTTTTTTTTTTTTTTTTAGGTTTTTCAAGACAGGGTTTTTCTGTGTAGCCTTGGCTGTCCTGGACTTGCTTTGTAGACCAGGCTGGCCTCAAACTCAGAGAAATCCACCTGCTTCTGCCCCTCTTTTGAGTGCTGCAATGAAAGGTGTGAACCATCATGCCTGGCCTCTATCTATTTATGAGCCACCATGTGGATGATAGGAATTGAACTCTGGACCTTTGGAAGACCAGCCAATGCTCTTGACCTCTGAACCATCTTCACCCCCACCCCACCCACCCCCACCAATCCCGCCCCATTCATTTATTTGGTTGGTTGATTTGGTTTTTCCGAAATAAGGTTTCTCTGTGTAGCCCCGGCTATCCTGGAGCTCACTCTGTAGACCAGGCTGGCCTCTGACTCATGAACACCCATGCCTCTGCCTCCTGGGTGCTAGGATCAAAGCTGTTCACTGCCACCCAGCATATTATTTATTTCTGAGGCAAAGTCTCACTGTGTATGCCAGGCTAGCTTTGAACCCCAGGCTGTGTATGCCAGGCTGTCCTTGAACTGCCTCTGCCACCAAGTGCTGGGACAATAGGCACAAGTAACCACATCCTGCTACACTTTATTCTTTCTTATTGTTGGAAGGCTAAGGATTGGACCTAGGGCCCCACACAGGCTGGGGAAGTGCCTGACCACCAAGCTACATCCATAGGCCACCTCCCCCTTTTTAAAGATTTGTTTGTTTTATTTCATGTAGCTCTGGCTGACCTTGAACTTGCTATGTAGATCAGGCTGCCCTGGAATTCACAAAGATCCGCCTGCCTCTGCCTCCTGAGTGCTGGGATTAAAGGCAGGCATCATGCTGGCTGTGTTCTGCCTGCTTGTATGTGCGCCATGTTTGTGCCTGGAGGCTGGAAGAGGGCATGGATCCCATGAGACCAGAGCTACAGGTGACCGCAAACCTCAGTGTGGGGGCAGGGACCCAAACCTCTGCCAGAGCGACTGGTGCTCTTTAACACTGAGCCACCTCTAGCCCAGCACACTTCTTACATGCAGCCTGGAACAGGATCCCACTGAGTCACCCAGGCTGGCCTGAACTGTCCCAACACACCTTCAGTGGGAGACCCTCTTCTCTTTCCTTCCCCTCCCCTTCACTCTCTCTTCCGTCCACAGAGGAGACACAGCACCTATAATCACAGCACTTAGGAGACCGAGGCAGTAGTATCAGGAGTCAATGTCATCTTTAGCCATAGCAAGTTCTGGGCCAGCCTAGGCTAAGTGAGACCTGCCTATTTGATGAGGAGGAGGAGGAGAAGGAAAAGCCTGTACTATCCGTTGTACTATCCCAGGGCCCTTCTGGCTCTGGGCTGGACTTCGCCATTCTGGACATGTCCTATAAATGGAGTTACAGCCCCCAACTGTGAATCCAAGTATTCAGGAAATCTCTTAACAGTCAGGGGATGAAGATAAAAGGGTCACAGTCCACTGGGGCTCTACAGTGAGTCTCTGCTACACCAAAACACACACACACCGTCTATGATTTTTTTGTATGTTTGGCTTTACACTCAAAGGTCTATACAAGTTAGAGCAGAGTAATTGTCCTTTTCATGGCTGAGTAGTAGTATTCTTTTGTATGTCTTGACATCATTTGTTTTATCTGTATATCTGCTGGTGATCCTCCATTTTTAACTGTTTATTTGGGTGTAGCTAGTACATAGAAATATATACAGATCTTAGTTGCATATGTTTTTGTTTCTTCTTTAGTTTGGATACGTTTTTACGTAAGTTTACGCCTGTCATCTCATGGTAGGTGATGGTACAGGTGGACAGAACCAGGAGAGCCCTTCTGAGAAAGACCAGTTTATACTGAGACCTGAGGACAGAGAAGGAGCCCGGGGAGGGAGGGACCAACCCAGCCAGGGTCAGAGCACTTGGGAGCCATTGAGTGTTCCAAGAGCAAGGGAATGATGTCACCGGGCCTCTGCGCTCTAGCCCTACCTGTTGTCTCAGGCAGGACAGACGGCCCTGATGCTGGCCGTCAGCCACGGGCGGGTAGACGTGGTGAAGGCGCTGCTGGCCTGCGAGGCAGAGGTCAACGCTCAGGATGAGGACGGCTCCACAGCCCTGATGTGTGCCTGTGAGCACGGACACAAGGAGATCACTGGGCTCCTGCTGGCTGTGCCCGCCTGTGACATCTCCCTCACCGACCGAGTGAGTCCTCCCCCACACTGGAGGTGCCCCCCAGGGAGGGCGGGCTGCACACGGGGCGCCTTTACAGCGGCGGGTGCTCTGCAGGACGGGAGCACGGCACTGATGGTGGCCCTGGACGCGGGGCAGAGCGAGATCGCGTCCATGCTGTACTCACGCATGAACATCAAATGCTCGGTGAGTCCTGCGCAGGAGGGCGGGGCTGGGGGAGGTGATGGGGACCTGCCATCCCTGGCTTCGGGAGGTAGGGTGAGGCAGGCAGGTTCCAGCCCAGCCAGGGTGACGGGCTTGAGTTTAAGGCCAGCCTGGGCAACTAAGTAAGACATATCTCAAAATGGAAAGAGAAAGGAGGGCTAAGGCTCAGGGTAGAACCCAGAACCCCCCGCCTGCCTGTGAGGGTAAGACAGCATGCTGCCTTGAACACTTTGCATTAATACTTGCTTGCCTGAAACAATATTTGGGGTTTTGTTTGCTTTTCAAGGTAAGTGTATTTGGGTTGTGAGTTTAAGGCTAGCCGGAACTATATATACTTAGATATGCACATATGTGTGTGTGTATATATGTATATATATGAGTATATGTGTGTGTGTAAAAAGAGAGGGCCACAGCTTCAGTTTACTGTCTGGGGTCACCTGACAGACGTTCTCAAGCCCCTCCAGTCCTATCCCCAGAGCCTCCGCCCGAGCTGTTCCCCACCTTGGAATGCCCCTCTCCTGGGCTGCCTCCCTGACCTGGGTCAGTGAAGAAGTCTCCTGTCTCCACTTTGATCCCCACCATGCCTTCTTCACAAGGACAGGGTGACAGTCCGTCGCTGTGTCTGGTCCTTGGAAGGCAGGGGCCGCCCTCCGTCTGCATCCGCAGCAAATCTCCTCAGAGGGATTTGAAAGGGTGCCAAGAAAGAATTCTGCCTCTTGTTACAGTTCGCTCCCATGTCAGACTGCGAGAGCCCAGCTTCATCTTCAGCTGAAGAGTAAAGGTGGAGAGGAGCCAGTGGTCCCCAAGGACCCACCAGCCACACAGCAAACCGTCCCTCCCTCAGCCCACCGTCCCTTTCTGCCCTGGGCTTCCTCAGCCTCCCTCTCCAGGGCAAACCTCCTCCACTTCCCCGGGGGAGCCCTGACATCTACCAGACTCCACTCCACGAGGCCTTTCCCAGCACCCTGTGTTTAAAGCCACAAAGCCAAGTTGCATTCTCCTCCCAGCTGGCACCAGTTGCTGACGGCCGGGTGTGGGTTTCTTGTGAAGAACATGCAGAACAATCTGCCGGCAATTACGGGAGGAGTGGGGGCAAAGGGGAAAATACTGTATTCTTGAGTCATTGTGAGGGGAAGGGAGGGGTCAGAATTCCAGTTGCTAAATTTGAATGTCACTGGAATGTTACCGGCTCCTTGGTCCTGACGTCACTACTGCAGGTCTCCACAAAGCCCGCTTAATGCCCTTTGTCGCCTCATTTCATTGTCTGGTGTATAATGGGGTTTTGTCCACTGCCTGCCACCTCCACACAGCTTTCTTGGGAGTGAGGGTGTCATTCTTGAGCCCTCTCCCTCAGGGCAGAAAGCAGTGTTTTTTCATTTGTCTTTTTTTTTTTTTTTTTGTATTTCACTGTCTGTGTCACACACACACAGGGTCAGGGGCACTCATTGCCCTGTAGCTGGTGTTGCGATGGGTCCCCTGACTTGGAAATGACCAACTTAGAAGGAGAAATGGTGCAGACCTATCCATTCCCCACAGGGAGGGCTCAGGAGAACAGTGTTCCTAGAAAAAACTTCCAGAGCTACAGACAAAAGAGGAAAAGGCCGTTTCAGAGTGGCTCCCAGCCCCGGATCCAGAACGGCCCTCACGGGAGAGTAAACAGAGGATGTGATGCAGTGGGCCCTCTCCGAAGCCATGTGTTCCCCATTAAGAGCTGGCTGGCCTCAGAGCACTCCCAGAACCAGCTTAAAGTGACAGGCTTTGCTGCAACCTGAGGGGCCAGACAAGTAGTTTTATGTTTGTGTGTTTGTTTTTAATGCCCTAGAGCTCTTGCTGGTGACAGGGCACAGACAGGCTTCACTTTTCTCTTAGTGGAATTTTTTTTTTTCTGTCCCCAGAATCTCAGCATGTTTTCTTTGTTTTTTGTTTTGATTTCTCTCTCTCTCTCTCTCTCTCCCTCTCTCCCTCTCTCTCCCTCTCCCCATTTATGTTGTTTTTTTTTCCCCTTATCTCCTTTCTTTGTAAAGAAGAAAAGAAAACAGCTTCTAAATGTGCCTTGTGATGTGGAGGACATCTTAACCCAGGTCACAGCTGGACCCACTGGGCCTTGGAGCCAAGCCTCAGCAGGGCATAGTTGAGGCTCATGAACTGAAAGACAGCGCTGGCTTCTCCTTAGACAAGTAGGTCTCTCGGCTTCGTGGAGTCTTATTCCACCAGAGTTTTATTGAAGGGGTTTGTGTAAGGCACAGAGGCTTGCTGGCAGTAGAAAATGAGGTGGGCGGGTGGATGGATAGATGAATGGATGGGAGGTTGCATGAGTAGGTGGGTTTGTGAGCGGATGGATGGATAAATGAGCAATGGAAGGGTAGCTGGGTGGGCCGCTGGGTGGATGTCTTGATGGAGTCTTTGCATGGGACAGAAAACTAAACTGCAGAGCAGTTGCTGGTGTCTGAGGGGTACTCAGTCTAGGGCAGGGAAAGGCCGTGCTCTGAGCTGAGCCCTGAGTTCCAGCCTTGCAGCTATCGAGTAGTTGAAGGTTTTGGACGCATCAGCTATGACCCCAAAGCACATGTCCTCAGAAAAGCCCTTGTCTCTTTCTGCCACTGCTTCTCTGCGTGGGGGCCGCTGGGGCCAGACAGTCGTCTCTACTTTCTCTCCATGCATACTCAAAGAGTTCTGTTTCCACTTTATGACCACGGTACGTCTATGAAGACAGTGTTACACGTAAATGAAGTATTCTTGTAATCATGTTTTAGAAAGTAAAAGGATTTAATAAAGCTACAAACGATGCTGGCGCCTTGTGTCTATCCCCCCATTCTTTTTAGGCCAGGCTTGAACACACGATCCTTCTGCTTCTTCCCACCTGGTGTTCTCAGTGCTGTGATCAAAGTGTGCTTTGATCTCACAGTGTGCTATGGTGTCAGTGTGCTTTGCTGTAACAGGGAGCTGTGATGTCACAGTGTGCCGGGATGTCACAGTGTGCTGGGATGTGACAGTGTGAAGTGACTGTGTTGGGATGTCACAGTGTTCTGTGATGTCACAGTGTGCTTTGCTGTCACAGTGTGAAGTGATATAACAGTGTGTTGTGTTGTAGCAGTGTTCTGTGACGTCACAGCGTGCCAGGATGTCACAGTGCTGGGATGTCCCCAGTGTTCTGGGATGTACCCTGGTGGGATGTGACGTAACCCCGTGTGCTGTGAGGGCTAGGCTGTACTAATGGAGCCGTAGCCCATTAGTACACAGCTCCTGCAGTGCTCTGTCTCTTGCAGTACTTCGTGTGTTGCAGCCCTGGGCCTTGAACCCAGGCCTGTGCACACCAAGCAAGTGCTCATTATTTGTATTTTTAAAAATTGTTTGTTTTATTTAGTGAGCACTGATTGGTGTTTTGCCTGGATGTGTGTCTGTGGGAGGGCGTCAGATTCCCTGGAACAGGAGTTACAGACAGTTGTGAGCTGCTATGTGAGTGCTAGGATTTGAACCCAGGTCATCTAGAGGAGCAGCCAATGTTCTTAAGCACTGACTGATCTCTCCAGCCCCTATTTTGTATTCTTTAAGCTTTTAAAAATAGATCAGAAGTGCTGGAGCCAGGGCTCGGCAGTTAAGAGCATGTGCTGCCCTTCCAAAGGACCCAAGTTCTTTCCCCGCACCCATGTCAGGAAGATCGGGTAGGTGGCTCCTGACCTAGCCCCTCAACTCCAGCTCCAAGAAAACCCATGACCTTTGTGAGCACTGCATACACGCGCACATACATAATCAAACATAAGTAAGTCTTAAATAATAATGGCCTAAGACTCACTGCCAAACTTTGGGCAGAATGCAGGGAGCTGTAGGAAAGAATAGAGGAATAGAAGGACCCACAGCAGACAGGAGCTCCACAAGGAAACCAACAGCCAATAAATCTGGGTCCATGGGGTCCTGCAGAGACTGATGCACCAACCAAGGACCATGTATGAAGAGGACCTAGTCCCCCTGCTCAAATGTAGCCCATAAGCAGCTCAGTCTCCATGTGGGTGCCCTAGTAAGGGGAGCAGGAGCTGTCTCTGACATAGACTCTGTTACCTGCCCTTGACTCACTTCCCCCTGGGGGGTGGGCCATTGCCAGGCCACAGAGGAAGACAATGCAAGTACTTCTAATGAGACTTGATAGGCTAGGGTCAGATGGTAGGGGAAAAGAGCTCCCCCTTTTTGAGAAATAGGGGTCGGGAAGAGGGAGGGAGGATGGGACTGGGAGGGGAGGGGGGAGGGGTCTATAATCAGAATGTAAAGTGAATAAATTATAAAAAATAAATATAACTTGATGATGATAGCTCAGAGGTTAAGAATACAGGTTGTTCTTGCAAAGGTCCTGAGTTCAATTCTCAGCATCCACATGATGGCTCACAACCATCTATAATGAGATCTCTTCAGTCTGATGTTCTCTTCTGTCATGCAGGCATATATGCAGATAGAGTGCTCATATACATACATAAATGAATCTTTTAAAGAATCAATAGTAGCCAGACATAATGGCCCATGCCTTTTTTTGGTGTTTTTTGTTTGCTTGCTTGCTTATTTTTTTCGAGACAAGGTTTCTCTGAGTAGCCTTGGCTGTCCTGAGGTCACTCTGTAGAGCAGGATGGCCTTGAATTCACAGAGACTGACCTGCCTCTGCCCCCTAAGTGCTGGGCTTACAGGTGTATGCCACCATACCTGCTGGCCCGTGCGTTTATAATCCCAACAAAGGGAGGCCAAGACAGAGGCAGGCAGATCTTTGTGAGTTCCAGGCTAGCCTGGCTACAGAGTGAGTTCCAGAACAGCCAAGGCTACACTGAGAAACCCTGTCTTGAAAAGGGAAAGAAATAGTCATTATAATAATAATATCTAAAAAAGAAATTACTCCAAGAACTGGAGCATGCTCGTTCAGTAAGAGGTCACAAGCCTGAGGCCTGGGCTCCATCTCCTGAACGAGAAGCAGAGACAGGAGAATCCCCGGCCTCTACATACAGAGGATATAGCCTGAGTGGCAAGCTCCAGGCCAAGGAGAGAGCCTGTCTGAGAGAAGGCGGACAGCTTTCCTAAGGATGACTCCTGGGTTGTCCTCTAGCCTACTCACACACTCACCCACAGGTAAATCGATAGATAAAAGACAAAACTAGATCTGAGCCGGCCGCGGTGGTACGCACCTGTAAGCCCAACACCAGTCTTTGAAATTCAGGTCATCCCTCCCATACCTAACTGAGGTCCAGGCAAGTCTGAGCAATATGGGACCTTGTCTGAAAAAACAACAAAACAGAACAAAACAACACAAATATCAATAAATCGTGTGTTAGTGTTATGCCCAAGATACTTTTTATGTAAAAATATTCCAAGATTAAAAAAAAAAAATCGGAAGTTCAGAGCATCTGTTTCCACACACATCTTGTGGTGGTGGTGGTGGTGGTGGTGGTGGTGATGGTGGTGATGGTGGTGGTGGTGATGGTGGTGATGGTGATGGTGGTGATGGTGGTGGTGGTGATGGTAGTGGTGATGATGGTGGTGATGATGATGGTGGTGATGGTGGTGGTGGTGATGGTGGTGATGGTGGTGGGGTGATAGTGATGATGGTGGTGATGATGGTGATGGTGGTGGTGATGGTGGTGGTGATGGTGGTGATGGTGATGATGGTGGTGGTGGTGATGATGGTGATGGTAGTGGTGGTGATGGTGGTGATGGTGATAGTGGTGGTGATGGTGGTGGTGGTGCTGATGGTGATGGTAGTGATGGTGATGGTGGTGATGATGGTGATAGTGGTGGTGATGATGGTGGTGATGGTGGTGGTGGTGCTGGTGGTGATGGTGGTGGTGGTAGTGATGGTGGTGATGGTGGTGGTGATGGTGGTGATGGTGGTGGTGGTGGTGGTGGTGGTGGTGGTGATGGTGGTGATGTTTTGTTCTTGAGGTCTCATGTAACCCACTCTACCCCAAATTCACTACATAGCCAAGGATAACCTTGAACTCCTGACCCTGCTTCCCTCTTCCAAGTGCTGGGATGGCAGGCATGCACCTCCACACCAGTTTTGTTCCCTGAGGATGAAACCCGGGGCTTTGGGCACGCTAGGCAAGCCCTCGGCTAGCCATGGAGCCCTCACCAGAGCCCCATTCATTTTCAGACAGTTTTAGGCGGCTGGGAGGCGCTTCAGACTTAATCACATCCTCTAGGATGACTTTGAACTACCCCCACTTCTGTGTGCTGGGACTGTAGATTTGCACCAGCACACAATTCGCTAAAACTTTTTAAGATTTATTCAATTTCCTGTGCCCCATGTTTGCCCTCAGACCCCCTTGGAACTGGAGCTGCAGGCATTTGTGGGCTGGGCGTTGAACCCGGGTCCTCAAGAGCAACTAGGGCTCTTAACCGCTGAACCATCTCTCTAGCTCACGAAATTGTTATGAGGTGGAAAAATCCACATATATATATTTGGGTAAAATTTACATATCATTAAATTTACCATTTCATTTCTTTCTTTCTTTTTTTTTTTTTTTTTTTGGTGCTGAGAGTGGCCCACGGGGCTTCACACAATCTAACTATGGGCTCTGCCCCAAGCCCCAGTTCCATTACCTTCCCCGTTTTGAAGTACCTAGTTCAGGGGCAGTTAGCTCATTCACTGTTGTGTAATCACCTTCAAAAGTATTCATCTTGCAAAACCAAAACTCTGTGCCCACAGAACACTAGCCCCGTACCCTAGCCCCAGCCTCGGAGGCAGAGGCACCTAAGGACCTCCAATGAATGTAGTAATGGGTGCCCGTGCCCGTGCCCGTGTGTGTGTGTGTGTGTGTGTGTGTGTGCAGGTGCGCCTCAGAGGTTGACCCAGGTGTTTGCACAGGTGTTTCTTTCATCCACTTCGCTGCCTCGTGTCTTGAGACCTGGTCTCCCACAGAGCCAGAAGCTCCCTGTCCCTGTCAACTGGATTAGCCAACAGCCACAGGAAGCTGCTCCTTCTGCCCAGTCTCTGGCACTCAGGGTGCAGGCCCATTCTTCTCGCCTGGATTATTAATTGATTGATTGATTAACTGATTGAGACAGAGTCTGTCTGTAATTTTGGCTGTCCTAGAGCTCAAGCTGGCCTCAAACTCACAGAGATCCAACTGCCCCTGCCCTCCAAGTGCTGGGACTAAAGGCTAACATGTCTGCTCCGCCTGGATTTAATGCGGTGTTGGAGATTTGCGCTTGAGTCCTCCTGCTTGCACAGCAGCACTGAACCTCTTCTTGGTCCTTGTGCAGTTGCTGGTGTCTTTTAGAGATTTTTTCCTATGGGTGTGTGTGTGTCTGCGTATTTCTCTGCTGTGCAGGTAGGTCTCTGAGGAGGTCCGAAGAGGGCACCGGATTCCTTGGAGCTGGAATTACAAGTGTTTGTAAATCACTGAGCTGAGATTTGAACCCCAGACCTCATGATTGAACAGAAATGCTCCTAACTGCTGAGCCATCTTTCCAGCCCTCTTTGTTCTGCTTTGTTGTTTTACACAGTATTAGTTTTGTTTTTGTTTTTTTCTGAAACAGGGTCTCACTGTGTAACTAACCCCAATGTAACCCAGGCTTGCCTTGAACTCAGAGCTCTGCCTGACTGTGTCTCCTAGCTGAGATTAAATACAGGTGTGCCACCGAGGCTGGCAAACCACCTGATACCCCCAGCCCGGGTTGGCTTCAACTCACTTAGCACCTGAGGCTGATCTTCAGCCTCTGTGGTACCTCCACCTCGGAGGGCTGGGATGAAGGCAGCACCCGAACCTGCTTTTACCCAGTGCTGGGGGCTGAGCCCACGGCCCCCTGCCTCCCTGCG